TTAAAACTAAAATCCAAGTTTCAAATCTTCCAAAATGATGATTTAGGATGGAAAAACATTTAAAGTGGTTGAGATTTAAGGGGAAAAATGTAGAAAAATGGTTGGAAATAAAAAACCCTATTAGTATGTGGCATATTTATAATGGGGGGTGAGAATACCCTTATACCCCATTTTAATTTTTTGAAAACAAAGAAATGCATCGATACATTTAGACCATGTATTGATACTTTTGGTTTTCAAAAAATTGTATTGATAAATTGTGAACATGTATCAATACATGCTTATCAGAAAGCCTTTCTTAGTCAACTGTATCGATACAATAGAGACAGAATGCCTATAAAATCCGACTAAGCTTATTTACATTCGATATCATTTATGTAAATGTCTTCAATTTTACTTTTTTTTCTTTTTACTATCCATCTACTTAAGCTATTTAATGAAAATACGCAAACATCTCTTATTTGGATTCAACATAAATATATAAAAAAAAATCAAATTCCAAAAGAGTCAAAATCTAAATTTTGATTTCAAGAACAAAATCGAGAAAGTTCGACGAAAATTAAATTTTGGGCTTTTATTTATCATAGCAAATGTATTTTAAAAATTATGAAATAATCATTCTAAATTATATCAATACCAAAGGAACCATTACTATCATTTTTTATTTTCATCAAATTGTTTTATAAAAATCACATATTTTGACCCATTCCAAACTTAGAAAAGTTTATAATTCAAAAATGATAGCCAAGTAAGGTGGTACCCACGAAGTATAAACGAATACTTGGAAAAGATTATAACCAATAAACAAAATCATGGATAATAATTGTTAAAAGCTCACATACAGATTTACCCAATTATCCTCTTATAAAAGTTGAAGGTTTCACAAGTTTAAAGCCAAATTGATTGCCCAAGGTTTTACACAATTGAAGTGGTCTATATGTTGCAACTAGAGGGATTTATGGAGAATGGTACAGATCATCTTGTGTGTAAACTCAAAATGTCTATTTATGGGCCCAAACGAGTTTCTCACTAATGGTATCTTAAATTTGATGAAATAATCACCTCTTTGGATTTTGTTGAAAACATAGTAAACATATGCACATATCTCAAGATCAATATGAGCAAGTTTATCTTTCTTATTTTATATGTTGATAATATCTTACTTGCTAATAGTGATTTGGGAATGTTGTAAGAGACAAAGAAGTTATTGTCAAGGCAATTTGATATGAAAGATCTATGGGAAACATCTTATGTTTTTGGGATTAAAATCTATAGGGATAGATCTCGTCATTTCTTGGGACTCTTTTAATGCACATACATTGATCGAGTGTTGGATAAATTTGTTATGCTTGATTAGAAAGATAGAGATGTGCCAGTTATTAAAGATAATAAATTAAATTTGACACAATATCGTAACAATGATGCTGAATGGAAATCTATGAAAGTAAGACCATATACTAGTGTATTAAGAAGCTTGATGTATACTCAAGTGCAAACTAGGCTTAATATTGCTTTTGCAGTGAGTATTTAGGAAGTTGCGAAGAAGGTGATGAGATATTTAAAGAGAACTAAGAATTATAAGATATTTTATCATAAGGTTAAAGACCTTAAGTTGGTTGGTTACAGATTCTAACTTTGCTAGCTATTCAGATATATTTTGATATTGACAGATGGTGCAATATCTTATAAAAGTGTAATGCAGACGCTTGTGACCTCATCCACTATGTAAGTAGAATTTTTAGCATGTTATGGAGAATGTTCATAAACAATCTGGGTAAGAAATCTCATAAAATAATTATCGATAGTTGACTCTATTGCTAAACCAATACAATTATTTGTGTCAATGCTATAGTAGTTATGTCTACCAAAATAAAAAAATAGACTAAGCATATACAGATAAAATATTTGGCAGTTAAAGAACTTGTGAGAAAAGATGATATTTTGGTTAAGCATATTAAGAGTGATGACATGATAGTTGATTATCTAACCAAAAGATTGTGTCACGGGGGTTTTCTCTCAACACCCGTGCAACGCTCAACCACTGATTTTCTTGGGCCGCTTCGATGGCTAATCTAGCCTTACCAGGTCAAGGATGGTCTCCCTTGACAAGAGCACCGATGAGCAAGCAAAGCCTCTAACACGGCATGCTCAGTCAGCCAAGCCCTACTCGTTAAGCATCTTATCCACACACTCAAGATAACTCTTGTGTCAAGCCTTTGCTCGAAAAGCACCACCTTTAGCAACCCCTCGTTTGGTCACACGTTACTCTCGAACACCTTACCCGACCCGCAGGCTCACTTAATCGAGGCAACTGGCACTCAATAAGAAAGGCACACGAGTAACAAGAAAGCAAGTAGGAAAAGGGGTTATTTGTATTTACACTTAATGTATACAAATATACAAGGGTGGCCTAAGCCAGCTACACAATGTGCCTTGGCACCCTAACCCAGTAGCCTTGGCCAACACTCACCGTAGCCCCTCACTATGGCCCTCAAGTGCCTAACCACTCAGCTTCAAGGTTCCTAATGTTTCCCAGCTCTCCAGCCCTCCAACAACAACCAACCAACAACCTTGGCAAGATCCCCTAAGGTCCCTTTTTGTAGTGGGAAGCCTCCCCCAGCAATCCCAAGGGGTTCCCAACAATCTTGGTGCCATTTGGAGTCTGTCTGGGCTCTTTGACGAGCCTTTAGGCCATAGGCCAACGGCTAGACAACAGTTAGCCTGCCTGTGGAGCTTGCTAGTCTTTCCTAAGCAGCCTTGATCTATCCTGCACCTTCAACGCTACCTTCGCGCCCCCTATTGCCTATCTGCACGTCAACTCAGCCTACTTGGACGTTAACTCTGCCTGCCTTCTGCGCTAAAGTTGTTCTTGTGCCTACGTGCCCTACTTTACTTGCCCACTGTTTCGGCCTCGTACACGCCAAAATTGCCAAACACAATCATCTGCATGCCCAAGCACTACCTAATGGCGAGAGATCTACCCCATCTGCAAGCCATGCCGCCTTCCATCGAGCCAACTTGCCTAATGAAACAAAATGGGTGTGCCAATTATGCCTTGTCACTCTCAAAAAACATGTTTTATGATATGAGCCTTTTAGAGTGCTTTGATGTGCTTAATTAATGGGAAGATTTCATATTGTTCTATTTTATGCTTTTTTTGCTTAATTTTATTTGAAGCACATTGTTGATGATATATTTGAATTTAGTATTACTAGTGATTATTTAATAATATTCAATCATGAAGTGTTCATGTATACATACTTTTTTTTTCATATGTGAAAACTTAAGACATGCGTCGAACTTAAACATAGGGTGGGGCATAAATTGATAGACTTAAGGATACATCTTTGACACATAAAATATATCTCGAGATAGGTAAGGTAGACATATAGGTTTCTTGAATAAACCACAAAATGTTTCTCTTACAAGCTTTAATTGCATAAAGGAGAGAACAAAGTGTCAGTCACTTTGTGAAATAAATGAAATACATCATTCAAGTAGTGTTGTTATTCATTGCTACACTACTACATTAATTTCATGTTGATAAGATTGGATCGTATATGTGATTATAGTTGATGTTGTATCCTGATAGAAGTTATTTTATCACAAATGTTATTAGATAGAAGGATTTTTTGGAGTAAGTCTCAAGATCAATTTTTTTTTAAAAAAAAATTGAGCTCATAAAGTTTCAATTTGCCTTAACATGTGAGTCATTTTTAAGAAAACGCGTTTTTAAAATTTGAATTTAAATATCATATTCCAAGTGAAAGATTTTTAGATTTTTTCAATAATAAAGTGTTGGACTTACTCATTCCAAAAAAAAAAGTGTTGGACTTATATTATTTAATTTGTCTTACCTTTTCATAAAAGATAGATTAAGCTTATTTAGTTTTTGATAAGTGAAGATATTATAGTCTATAATATGATCTAATTAATAAAATAGGTTAGACTCTAATATTAAATGTAGGCTTAAGAATATAAGTCTATTTAAGAAATTCTAAATCCTATGATGGGTGAGATCAAAGATTCATTATATCAAGATATGAATAAGTCTTCTCTATTATCTACACAAACATTACGTGTCTCACCAATTGTAGAGTTACTAAAATAAAGTAAGAGGAAAATCCTAATACTTTCATTGTCAAATTATGGATCAAAAATTAAGTATGTTTTTATTTTCTAAAATTCAATTATAATAAATTCTAAATTGATATAAATTAATTATTACATAAAATTTATCCTACAGAGAAGATAATTTATTGGAGACAATACAATGAATATTAAATTGGAGTTGAAAAAGCAAACATTTTGTTTTTCTGCATGGCATCATGTCATTGTCTAGTACAAGGAAGATGTAAATATAATATCACAATAAATAAAATAAGATTATTCTGTAAAACATATAAATTAATAAACACAATTAGCGACACTTTATCGTACAAAACAAAAAAATTACACCTCATCCCTTGGTTCGGAGACTGGCAGAGTATGACGAAAGTGCCCATCCGTTGAAGATGTAAAAAACGTGGATAAACGATATATATTTTTTAAAATAGAATATAATAAAAACCTGACATGAACCAAATTAAACCTTGTTTTTTAATTGCTTTTTGACCAAATTCAATAATAGTATTTTTTTAATTAGAGAAAAAGATATTTAAACCTTATTTTTTAGATAAAAAATTATATGTTAATTAATGAACTAAATGTCCAACATTAGTTTGAATCCATTTCGATTTTAGATTTTATAAGGAGGAAAAACAACATTTGGATTCATTTTTGTTTTTTATTTTCATTTTTGGGTTAAAAGGAGAAATTTTTTATTATCCTTACCCGTTCAACCAGTGAAGACTTGAGGGCTCTGCGAGCAAAGCTGTGAGAAACAGGTTCAAACCTCAAACTTCAAACTTCAAACTAAAACGTTTCCATTTCTTGAAGGCAAGGAAGAACATAAACGTCTCTAATACACAATGGTTTATTAAAAAATTAAAATGATAATGAGCACAGCAAGAAAAAAAAATTTGAACAATTAAGATTATTAGATCGACTTGAACTTTGACAATCCGCCTGATGCGAGTGAACAAAGGGAATATTATCTAAGTCAGCCTTATAAGCTACTAATAGAAAAATACTACAACAAACCTTAGTATTCCAACGAATCAAAGGTGAACTAGATTGTAAACAAGTAGAACAACAACATCATCACAGCTTAGCAAAAACAGGTTTCTTTTTCTGGATTTGGGCAGAGATTGCCTGGGTCATATCATCAGACAGAAGCATCGAAGAGTTCCAAGTTGCAACATAATCTAATCCCTGTTCCAAACTCAACTCCCTGCTTCTTAGCAACACAGCTTTTGTCCCACTCACGGCCAGTGGAGACTTCCCACCAATTCCTGCCAAACCAACATCACTTTCTTTAGCATTCACCCACACACAAGTAAATGCATGTTTGGTATGGGGAATAGCTATTCCCCTTCTATTCATAGTCACTAATTACCCCTCTTGTTTGGTCAGGAATTAGGCATGTTTGGTATGGGTAATATTTACTCCTTTTGTTTGGTTAGAAATTAAGCAAGGAATAACCATTCTCTTATTTTACCATTAAAAACTCTTCTTTAACTACACCCAACCTTTTGCTTTGCATTAGCAAGTCCATGTCTTATGGAATAACTTCAAAAATTGTTAAAACTAAATTATCCCTCGTAAGTTTAGAAATTTACACCTTTACCCATATTAATATTTATAACTAAAATATTAATGATTAAATTATAAAAATTAATATTTAAATTATCAACTATTAATATTTTAAATAAATTATAAATTATTAAAATTTAAAAAATAAAATTAATTATCATAATAACATTTAAATTATAGATAAAATAAGAATATTTTATAATATTAATGATTAAATTATAAATAAAATATTAATATTTAAATTATCAATTATTAATATTTAAAATATAAAATAAAAATAAATCATTATAATAATATTAAAATTATAAATAAAATAATAATATTTTATTATGTTAATCATTAATTATAAAAATTAATATTTAAATTATCAATTATTAATTTTTAAAAAAATTATAATTATTTATATTTAAAAATAAAATAAAATAAAAATAAATAATCATAAAAAATATTTTTATTTTTTATTTTAAAATTATTTTTATTTTATTTCTTTCATCGATGTAATAATTATTTTATTTTATTTTTATATAATAATTATTTTATTTCATTATTACTTATTTCGCGAACTAAACTATTAATTATTCTCCTCGAATAGCCACATGACATGGCCTATTTGATTTAATAATAGTATCCTACAGTAAAAGTCATTATGACGAAAATACAAACTTACCCTCCGCAATGTTACGGACACCTTCAGCCAATTCCTCCTTTGACGCGAAAACCTGAGAAACGAGACCCAACTCCTTCGCCTCCTGGCCCGAAAACCTCCGACTCGTTATCGCCAGCTCCATGGTGTTCCCTAACCCGATAATCCCGGGCAGCCTCTGGAGCGTTCCGAGATCAGCCGTGATACCCAAATCAACTTCCTTCACTGAGAAAAATGCATCCCTCGTACAATACCTTACGTCACAGGCCGTCACGATATCGATCCCTCCGCCGATGCATGCGCCGTGTATCGCCGCGATTACCGGCTTACGGCACCGCTCGATGGCGGTGATGGCATCTTGCATGAACTTGATCTGTCTTCGTAATCGCTCACCGGAGCGGCCGCGGTCGCCGGAGTAATTGCGGAAGATGTCTTTGAGGCTTTTTAGGTCGATGCCTGCGCAGAAGTGGTCGCCGGCTCCGGTTAGGACGATAGCGGCGGCGTTAGGGTTTTGGTCGAGGGCATTAAGAGCTTTGGGGAATTCGGTGAAGAAGTCGAGAGAAAGCGCGTTGCGGACAGATGGGCGGTTTAAGATTAAGTTAAAGACTCCAGAGTTTGGTGAATTTTGGAGAATTTCCAGAGTTTCGTATTTCTCTTCCATTTTTGGATTTTCGCAGTTTTCGAATGAAAGTAAATAAAATGAAAAGAAAAGAGGGAAAAGCCCGGGTAGGTTGAGGTATTTATTGACAATTTATAATTATATTGAAGATTCCAAATATATCAATTTTTGTACTATATCAGCATCCTCTAAATGGAATGAAATATTCGATAAAAATCCTTATAAATTAGCTCTTGTAATTTTTGTTTTCAAATTTAAACTTGATAAATTAATGGAATAAAATACCAAAAAAAAAAAACAAGGAATCTTATGAAATTTCTGAACATTATAATGCTCGGCTTGGAACAAAGTAATATTTTCTCGTAAAAGGCTGATCTCCCCTTCTCTCCGATCTGGGCTCGGTTGGTCTTCTCCTCTCTCTATTGACTGAAACTCTGGGTGTAATAACTGATGTTTAGATGCTGTAAAATGTTGAAACAAATCTTCTGTCGAAGTGCTTAAAGCTGGATCAATATATCACATATTACTTTTCAAAAAAAAATAAAACTCCCTTTAACAGTTGACGGTGAGGAGTGAGCTACTTTATGGGTGCTGAGAGCATCGAATTTGTAGCCTTGTCAACTTGAATCCGTGAATCTTGGATGAGAGCATGTGAGCATGCTACTAAGATTAACTGATCTAACGAGCATATCGTATCAAACTTGCTATGGAGCATTACCAAAGGATCACATATTACTTGGATCACTTAGAATATTATAAGCTTGTTAATTTTATGCAGAGCATGTGTGTAAGGGATTTCACGTCAATAAGAGATAAGTTGAGTTTTAAATATATAAATATAAATCTTTTACTACTTATTAGATATATTTTTTGGATTAAAAAACATGAATTCATTATTCTTAAGCTTAATTAAACTCTATTTTCATATTTTCCTCTCCTCTATAAGTAAAAAGCCTCCTTTACAAGTAAAAAGCTCGTACAACGAGAGCGTTTTGGGTAGAATATCACAATATGTCTTTTGTGTTAGAAACATAAACTCATGATTTATATACTTATTTAAATTTTATTTTTAAATTTTAAAATTATGTGAAATTAAATTTAAGTTTTGATACGTAACAATGTGAATCTTTTATTAAAATTAAATTACTCTAATTGGCATATCGCATCAAAATTGTTAAAAGCTTCTTGAAAAGGATCTCCAATTATTTGTGTCACTTAGAATTTTAATGCACATCATATATTTGATTGAACAATAAATTTTCATTTGTTGCTTTTGATTTACATTAAATTTGTTTTAATGACCAAAATATAGTACATAGTACTACTATATTTTCTTTAAGGGGGAAGTAAAATTTTCTTTAAAAAGTTATTGATCATGCATTAGTTCCACTAATCAATTTAAAGTGGATGTTAATTATATCTCAATAAAAGCAAAACTAGAACTGTTAAACTTGCAGTAATTGTAGAATATTTTAAGCTTGAATACATGCTGTTTACATTAATTTCCTTCTATTCTATTCAAAAAAACTTCTCTTATACAATACTAACATCTATATACAAAATCAATAATTGATGATCTAGGCTCTATTTCATCATATTAATTTTTAATAGCTAAAGATGAGTATCTTCATTATTGTCATGTGGATCATATTTTACTGATTTAGAATGGAGTAAATTTTAAAGATTTTTTTGAAAAATATTTTTCACAAGATAATTCCAATGACAAGATATTTTCAGTACTTTATCAAAATAACAAAATAAAAAATTAAATTTTTCAATAAAATATTTTACATTAAAAAAAAATTTTCAACAAATTATTTTTCAATTAGCAAACGAAACTAAACTATATTTGTATGTGTACATGAATATATACATATATATATATATATGTATATTTTAAAGAATATATCTTTATATTTAAAATTTATATTTTATATTTATACCACAATATATAACAAATTCTTATTTTACTTTTATATTTAAAAGATTAAAATTATATTTCAAAAACCATTTTTAAAATAAAAATTAAAAAATTTGTGAGTTTGATAAAATTAAAAGACAAATATTAACATGCTAAAAAGGCTAAAAAAATAATAACTTTTCTTTTTCTTTTTTCATTTTCCTTTTTCTCTTCCCTTCCCTGGCTGTAAGCATTGTCACGGACTAACTCTCTTAATCGCCTTCAACATCCAATCGACGTAGACCCAAGGCCGGTGAGGTCCAATCTAACGCTACTGGCGCAAATCTGTCCAGCAGAAACTGGATCTGGTCTCCCACAGCCAGATAAAATTTTGACCTTGAGAAGCCGAATCTGGCTTCTTCCCGCAGGCCAGATACAGCCTCACACCTGCTTTTAATATTTTTTCCTAAAATAATGATTTTTGGTAAAAAATATATTTTTATAGAGTTTTTTTACAAATGTAAAAAAATATTTTTTAAAAAATATTTTGTTGGTTTCTTTATTTGTTATTTGCTCCACTAATTTATTTAGTTAGAATTTATAAAAAATAAATAATTTTATTTTTCACATTTGCAAGAGCAGACAGAATAGTAGAATTTTTTGATAGGATTTTTTTTCCATCCAATAATGGTAATATTGCATTAAAAAAGAGGTCAAGTTGTAAGATTAGGGAGTAGTCAATTTAATAAAATGGTAAATATGATCATCATCATCCTTTTTTATATTTAAAAATTTATTAAAAAAAATTGATTGGGGAACTTTCTATAAAAAGGTCCTACCGGGAGTCGAACCCAGGTCGCTGGATTCAAAGTCCAGAGTGCTAACCACTACACCATAGAACCAAGGTGCGATTTGCTAAAATAAGCAGAAAGAAGGCTGGGCACATACATGATTAAGGAATAAAAAAGTAACACATGGGTTGACTTAACTAACAGGGGTTAGAAGCTTAGGAGACGGCGCAAATGAGAGAAATTATAGAGTTGTGTACGGAAAGATTCTAGATTGATTAAAATTGAAATGGAAATGCTTGCACTTGAAACAAGAGTTTCCTTAAATAAATGGGGTTTGTAAATGACTAAAGTTGTGATTTCAGACCAAAGGGAGAATTATGCGTTGAGGGACGGAAAATCTATTTTGGCATTTGCAGAAATCAAGGCTGGAGGGAAGACCTCTCAGCTGGCACGTAACCATATGATTTGTGCATCTAGACATCTTAGGTGCAACTCCCCCCAGGCCCTACACTCCTTGGAGTCTCGGGAAATCCTCTATCATTTACCTTACTTAGCATCCCTCTTAATTTTGTGTCCTTGTTTAATCACCCTAACCAAGGAACCCAACAATCCCCATTTTCCATTTGGAATTTTCGCACATTCATACCTTTACTTGAAAAATGACCACCAACAAGTTTCTTTTATTTTCATACACAAGAGGTGGAAGGAAGAACTCAAAGTTTCAATCCAGAATTTCAAGTTACAAAATAGCAAATCTGGTTTGGAGACCTAACAATCATATTAAAAAAAAAACCAAAACATTCATCCATCTAGCCGATGCCAGGATAAGTCTAGGACTAGTACGAAGATTAATGCTATTGCAAGGACAAAAGCAAAACAAACGAAAACACAACCATCACCATAATTAATGAACCGAAATCTCTTTTAAAAGTTTACCCTTTAAAAATATTCAACATTTACTACTCTTGCTTTCCATAATCTATAATGATTTTAAACATACAATGTTTTCATAGTTGAATTTTTATATACTTACCATTATCATTAAACATTATACAATAATATAATCATTGACACGTGAAAATGCTGAGAGAAGCTTCCACCCAGCACATGTTTTACCTTGGTTAACATGCTCTTCTTTTTCTATCAGCTGAGCCATGCAATGTTAAAAGGTTATAAAACTAGTATTCTTTGAAAAATAAGAAGAAAAGAAGGGCTCTTCAATCTCTCATGGAATCCAGCATAAGGTTCTCATGTCGTCCCCTGCTTGAATTGAATGAATTAGTACAACTTTTACTTGATGTTTATTTGGGTCAAACACGTTGTTAAGTAATGTGGGCAGAGTCCAATGTATGCAGAATTCCTCCGTCCCAATTAGTTATGAAATCTAATGAAGCACTAATTGATCATGTTTCCCTTGCACAAAATGTTTCAATTTCTTACGTTAGCAGAGCCTCAAAACGAAATAAAAAAAAGGCAAGACAAGATAAAAAGTGAAAAAAGCACCATATTGGACCTAGCTTTTGTAAGCTTTCCAACCCTGTTCCCTACGCGGGCTAGTAGGATCTCTCACTTTTGCATGGATGATGAAATATATAATTTTGACAAAAAAAAAAAAAGAAAATAAAAGACTTAGGTGGGTCGGTGCTGATAAATGTCACAATTAACATTCATTAAATTGTAGATTAAAATATCTTATTCCATAGAATAATAGTATATAAACAATCAATTGATCAAATTGTATTTAATGTGAAACTTACTTATTAGTAGTTTATTTTAATGAATTAGTCATTGATTATTGAAATATATTAATTAGTGATTAATGAATTACTAATTAATTTCTTTGTATACAATTTGTTATAAGTTTCAATTTTCAGTTTTAGTTTAAGAAATAAAATGTTTATATGTTTATATATATATATATATATATATATTTATATTTACGGGTGAGCCTCACAATCTTCACCTAAAAACTAATAGTAAACGATTAATATGAGGGTTAGTTGTACTTAAATTGATTTAATAGTCTAACTTTGTATAATTTGATTGAAATGGGTTAAGGGTATTACTTGTATTAATTAGAAAGATATTCCTTACGGCAAAGAGAAGAAATCGAAAAAGAAAATAATAATAAAAAAAAAAGAGCCAGATTTGGACCCAGCATTACATGAGCTCTCCATGATTCCTAAAAACGGTTGTCATTATCTTGTTTACCCCACCACAATGCCAATAATGATATGCTTGTCATTATCCCCCTCCCAATAATGATGAGGTGAACTGGCTTGAGCTTAGTGAATCAGGGAAATGGACGCTGGAAGGCAGCCACAAGTTCAGGCCATCGTGGACCAAAAGTTTCTTAAGGAGTGGTTCGATCAAACCATAATATCTATCCCCTGCACACACAGTTCCGAGTTCAATTATAGGGGATATCTCCAAATCAAAACAATAAATAATGCAATGGCGTGGCCTTTTTGTTGAACTGATATCAAGCATTAACTGAGATGATAAACATGAGGGAGAACCCCACGTCTCATATATACCCGTCGTTTGCATATGATAAATTTGGAACCCCACCATTTTTTAAATATGCTTTAATTTCGTTTGCAAATTGAAGCAGCCAGCGCCCATGAACCTTCGCTTAAGGTGCGGGGAGAGCGAAGCCCTTTTTCGCCATTAATTAATTTAGTGAATGCACGAATCTATTTCTGAGCCCCAGCTCTTCTTTGTTCCATTAACCATGAATATCATCATTAGCCAAATGATAGCGATATATTAGTGCCTCCTCCTTTTGTCTTTTTTTGGCGTTAACTTTAAACGGATTGTAATGAACCTTAGCCAGAAGTCAAATCAAACGGAGGCAAAGATTTAAAGATCAGATCAACCACTCAAAAAGTTGAATGTCGAGAAATAATTCATTCCATCGCCAGCACTTTTTTGGCTGCAAAGAAAGGAAGAATTGACGTCACGGAAGGCTAATATATAGGGAGAAAAAAAAATAAAAAGAAAATCTTAATTTTGTCAGTATGAACGGCAGGGTTGGGAGGGCAATGCAGTGTGGGGTCTGCAAAAGCAGAGAGAGGTAGCTAGCAATACCATTATTGGGTACTCGCATCAGATTGGGAAACCCCAAATCATTTGGTGGGCGAGATACATCATAAAGTGCAAGTTTACGCACCAAAATGAAGGACACTTTTAAAAGAAAACTGTGCAGCGCTCGAAGAAATCCAAGCTACGAGAAACGCTTGCTGATATCCGTTTGCGTACAGCCACGAACCTGGCGAGCTCTGTGATCTCCACCTAGCATTCCCAGACAAATCCCAACCATATAATTGATACAAGGAAAGAATAAAAACATCATCATTGTTTTTCTGTCCTGTTTTCCGACTTCTGTCTCATCATGTAACTGCAAATATTTTGAAGAAAAAGAATAAAATAAAACATTACAAAGTCTTGAAGGATGAAAAAATCCCATGCCACACGAAACCTTTGCCACGCAGCAGTAGAGAAACGCAATCAAACAAAAACAACTCAACAACAAACAGAAATAGTGAGAGAGTTTAGAGCTGACGCGGATGAGCGTGTTCCACTTTGTGTGTTACGGACTTTGGTTATATCATCATATTCACTATGCTAAAAGAGAAACGGCTTCCAGGTTGTGTTTTCATTGCTCCACATGAATTCAGGCTTTTCGACCATCACCTTTGCGCCCTATCCGCAACGTAAACTCGTACCATTATACAAGCTCTTCTTGCATACATCCTGCCACCCCTGTTTTTGGAGCGTGGCGCTTCCGTTTCTCGCATTCTATTTTTTACAGACAGTGAAAACTTATTTTATCCAGTGATCATTTTCTTATCCTAACGTTGTAATGATAATTAACTTGGTATATCTCTTCGATCCTCTACGGTGACAAGAAAGGAATTATACATAGTATCCTCAATTAATGATTATTGGATTTATTATGACCAATTCAACAATTACGTACTTTTAAGTTAAACCAGAAAGATGGCATACTAACACCATCAAAAACAAAAAAAAAAAAAAAAGGAAAAAAACACACAAATTGTGTTACGAGGGAAAAAGGTTTTGCAAAGCTAAAGGTGTTAATTATTTTTTTTTATAGAAAAACAATACTAATGAGTCAAATAATAAGAAATACACAGAAAAGTAAGAAATGAAGATGGGTTTATAATTTTTAAGCTTAATAAGCATTTTTAGAACGTTTGCAAGTAGGAGGGATGCCAATTTGGTTGGAACGTTGGGCACGCGACGAAAGAGGCACGTGGGGGAAGGGCAATACGGTAAGGACAAAGGGTAAAATGCTTTTATGCGAAGCTACCTACTAAATGTTCCACTTGTCATGCAAGTAGAATGAGTTGAGGACGCACACAATCTTGCTTGCATCAGCATTCACCACCCAACCCAGCCCCTCCCCACCCCTCACCCACTGTGCCATATAAAAAGCTCTCCCTATATAAAACCCTCTCATCGCCATCCTTCGAGCGCATGACATACAAAGGCTTTCGGGTCTCCCGAGAGTGTGAGAAAGAAAGCTAGGGTTCCCCTTTCATGCCCCCTGCCTTCTTCTGTTTCTAATCGGACACTTTTTCTGACGCCCCTCAAATTGTTTTCTTTCTGTTTAGCAGAGAGATGGCCGTAATGGGTGATCACCATTCTTGGGCTGTTGCATTTGGTGTCTTAGGTATATATTTACACAAAGCTTATGCATTGCATATCAAATGCTCTTCCCACCCTCCTTTTTTCTTCACTTTCATGACTCTTTTCGAGACATTAAACTGAATATTGAACAGGGATATTCATCAGGCTGGTCATTTTACGCTTCGGGGTTTTTTGTTGTTTTTCTTGGAGTCATTTCGCTGCTCATTTTCGATCTGTTCCAAGTCATCTCAGTTTATATATTTCCGTTTTTCCGCTTTCACCTGCTCCATATTCTTCAGCTTTCATCTTTGTTTCCTTGCTCTTTCATCCTCTCTTTTTAAGAGTTCATTTAAGCCTTTTCTCCGGTGGTTACCACTGGTCCTTATTCATACGCTAGGTCTGGTTTAGGTTCTTTATTCTTTTCCTTCTTCCTCCATCTTCTACTTTACCTCAGGCGATTCTAGTCATAATTTGGTGAAGTTAAGCAACAAATAATACTATTTTTGTTTTAAACAGGTTAACTAGGTGTTCCTTGTTAGTAATACCTCCAATATCACCTAAAGATAATTGATGTAATCAGTTATATATGCTTTTTTACAAAAATAAAAGAAAAAAACAAATAAATGTTATTTCGCTATCAAAATTTAGTATTGTCACCTAAATGATGATCCACCTTTCCAATCATATAAAATAATACATTCATTTTAATAACTGCATGAAAGCATTTTGTAAGACATTTTATTTTAGTTGAGCAGTGAAAACTTTATGAATGTACTTTTTTATAGAATAATAAATAACCAATGAATTTGTTTGCAATTGATTGATGACAGGTAACATCATCTCAGTCCTTGTATATCTGGCTCCAGTGTAAGCACCAGTCTATTTCATCTTCTTTTACATGACTCGAAATCATTGATTTCTATTTGATCAGACGAGGAATAACCCTTTTTTTTTTCTTTGGTTTCAAAAAATTTCAGACCAACATTCTACCGAATTTACAGAAAGAAATCAACAGAGAGTTTCCAATCACTTCCGTACCAAGTGGCATTGTTCAGCTCCATGCTATGGCTCTATTACGCGTTGATCAAAAAGAATGCTCTCCTTCTCATCACCATCAACTCCTTTGGATGTATTGTAGAGACTATGTACATATCTATGTACATAGCTTATGCATCAAAGAATAGCAGGGTAATTAATATGATAAAAATTCAGTTTTTAAAGGTTTTCTGATGAGAATATTAGTCAAAGGTTTAAGTAATTAGCTAATTATTCTAATTATTGTTCTCTTTTGTTTCTTTTTTGCTGCAGATGTCAGCTATGAAACTTTTTGTTGGTGTGAACGTGGGGCTGTTTTCTTTAATCCTTATTCTGACGTACTTTCTGGTGAAAAGTTCAATTCGTATCCAGCTTCTTGGTTGGATTTGCGTTGCCATCTCTGTATCTGTCTTTGCAGCACCTTTGAATATTGTCGTGAGTATTACTATTTTATTTATTATTTATTTTTAAATTAAGGGCCTGTCTACTGATCCATTTTTACACATTTCTTTAACTTCACTATTTTTATTAATTTTTCCAGGCACGAGTTATTCGAACGGGGAGTGTTGAGTTCATGCCTTTCAACTTATCATTTTTCCTCACATTGAGTGCAATTTTGTGGTTTGCCTATGGACTATTCATTAAAGATCTTTGTGTTGCTGTAAGTTGTTCTCTTTCATGTGGGACACATTTTTTCCTCTTTCACTTGGCTTTGAGCCACTAATTTGCTCATTTGTTTCCATCTCCATCGACAGCTTCCGAATATCCTAGGCTTCGTCTTGGGGATGCTCCAGATGCTGCTGTACGCAGTTTACAGAAACACCAAAAAGGCCACAGAGGAGAAGAAGCCCCCAGAACAATTGAAAACTGTTGTTGTCCTGAGCACAATAGCCACCTCGGAAGTCTATCCTGTTGATATTCAACCAGATGCTAACACTAATAAGGCAACAGAGAACGAACAGACAGGGGAGCCTGATAAACCTGAGAAAAGCTTGGAAGATTCCAGTGATCTCCAATCAAATGAATGTCCTGTTTGATTAAATGGCATGTACCCAGTTCACCATTTTGTTGAGAGTTCTGATGCTGAAACCGCCTTCCACATTTGTTTTTCCATCTTGTTTTTGCCCCACCCCTCACCACCCTAGCCTTTGTACATACAACAAATGAGCCAGGGGCCACTAAAATGACTATGTATTGTGCCTATCTCAGTTCGCCCCATGTTTAATTATCTTGTATGCCAGTAATCCTGAATATGTACTATTGTTTTGAAATACGAGAATGACTTCTTTCCCCAGTTTTCCTAAAATCTGAGGATGACAATTATTCTTTCTTTGGTATTATTGATGCTCGAACCGTAAAGTTGATTAGAATTGCAGGGAAACGTTTTCCCCTTATTGGGCTCATAAAAGTTGACATCCTAGCCATGTGGCTCTCGCTGGTGGTGCCTTCAAGCAGGTTCCAATAGTTATTCATTTACAGCAACACCACAGCTGGATGCGATAGGAACGAAGGACCCATATATTTTTCATTAGGATACGTGAGATGGGAGAACAGCTCTTGCTTTTCTTTTTCCAACTGGCTAAATAATTTTATGATAGATGAGATATATTTCTGATCCTGGGCATGTTTAAACTTCTCCCTATTGCATGCTTCGAACAGCAATTAAAAGTTTCCTAATGTTGCTTCCATATAGATTTTTTGCAGTAGCATTCTGACACAAGACTAATCCACCATGATTGTGAATTTAAATCTTATACTGTTCATGTTTTTCTTGAAAAACAAAATTAAATAGCTCATATGTTATTATGGGCTTGAAAAGAAATGAATCAATTGTGGTAACCCCTCTCTCAATTCTGATCTCCTCTACCATCTTCTCCATGAATTCACTTATAAGAATTTCGCATCTGAGCCATACATACTAAATTCAAAAAGTCAGCGATTATGACAACATCTGGAGATCCAAGGATCCAAGGGGAAATCAGAAACTTCAAAACCCCTGGCAAAATCAGCACTTACCGTGCAAAACAGACATGATGAGAGAGTAAGACAGCTCTATAATATAGTAACACAAGATTGGTTGAAAATGATCATAATTAGTTGTTGGTAAAATGTGTTTGTGTACCGAAGATGACTACAACATACAGACAACATAACCGTTCCGTACAGGGGGACCCTACAAGAGCAAGGATAACATTGCCCAGACGTCTTTACTCTCAAAATTTTATAAATACGTCTTGCTCTTCTCTTGCTCTCCTAGTAGATAATGTACACTCTCCATTATGCTTTTGATCGTTATCATCATCATCATCTTCTTCTTCTTCTTCGTCTTCTTCTTCTATGCTTCAATGAAAGGATGTAAAGTGAAAAAAAGAGAAAAAAACAAAAATTTGAAAAAAAAAAAAAAGAAGAGGTTAAGCGCATGTTAGCACCAAAGTCCCTAACAAAGCCCACCACCTGTCTCCATTTCAGAGGAAGAAAGCATTGCCAAGCTTTTTCGCTGGACCAGGCAGATAAAAGCTAGAAACGTGTCTTCACCCAGTTAATGTGAGAAAGCTGGATAAACACTGAGGTGGAAGATGGTGCACACCAGTTTTGCTAGGATACTACCCATTAGACCCATCGAAACTACCCTGCGCGCTTTGCCTCCTTTTTTCTCGCCAATTCTCTCCCCACATTTTGGCCTCGGCTACAGCCCTTTCCCTATTCAAATCCCTATTCAACATCCTCGCAGTTTCTCTGGGGGAGTCTTCCTTCTCAGACCCTTCCAAATCCCACCTACGACCAGATGCTCCTCCTTCATCATTCCTTGACACCCTTCCTCCTCTGTCATCTCTGTATCTTTTGTCATCCTTATCTCCAGGGCCTCTGTAGCCATGCCCTGCCGCATTAGGATCGTATGCCTGATTTGCCAAATAAGAGAGGGCAGTGACCACATCCCCAATCAGAGGACGTGTGGCAGCCTGCTCTTGAATGCACATGGATGCCACGGCTAGAGCTTGGTAGAGACCTCGCATTGGATATCGTCCCTGCAGTCGGGGATCCGCCAATTTTGAAAATTTGCGGCGGTCATTGAATAATGGACGTGCCTGTATATACATAAACCAGAAGAAAACTCAATTACTAAATACTCTTAGCCATTACTTGCTACGCTCACACCAATCCTCCACAACACAAAAGTTAGGCAACCAAACTACAAAAACAACTTAAATGCATTACCCATGTAACAAGGTTTTGTTCTCCATGGGGTTGTGTGCTGTCAATGGCTTTCCGTCCTGTAATTAGCTCCAAGAAGACCACCCCAAAACTATAAACATCAGATTTCACTGTCAATTGACCAGTCATAGCATACTCAGGAGCACAATAACCATATGTGCCCATAACCCTGGTGGAAACATGTGATTTGTCTCCAACAGGACCAAGTTTTGCAAGCCCAAAATCAGATAACTTCGGGTGAAATCCTTCATCCAGTAATATGTTGGAGGACTTGAAGTCCCTGTATATAACAGGAGGATTTGCTTTATCATGCAGGTATTCCAAACCTTTAGCAGCACCAGCTGCAATCTTCATTCTTGTGTTCCAATCTAGTGGTTCCTTCTCAGGAGGAAGATCTGCAGAGAGAATAATGACAGACTAGATTATAATCAAATTTACTCCTTCAGATATATGCCCAGGGGTGTGACACTGCAAACCTTGCACACGTTCATTTGTAGCAACTTAAACCAGAATATATCCAACACTCAGATATGACAATGTATCATCTGTCTCAGTCCACATCCAGACGTTATTGACAGTAAAGGCTAAAGTATTTGAGGCTTCCAGACTACAAAGAGCATATGACAGCATGCAAATGAGCCACAAAACAGATCCATTCAGAGAATTTTATGTTCATGGCTCATTATTAGTTCCAACAATAATTAGGCTTAGTTTAACATTATGGTTGGTTGAGAAATTGGGGTTTGGAAAATCATGGTGAAAGACTACTATTTTTCACTCAAAACTCAGTTTAGGCTGAAAATGTTGAATCTGTTTAGCATAGCAGTTGCAGTGCAAAACATGATCTTGCATGTCAACTGCGATCAGCCTTAATCTGATACAATATAGCTTTAAGTTTAATTTCCATGTCAAGTAGCCAAGCCACAAGGTTGCCTTGAGCTCATGTAGAATACCAACAAGTACAACAATCTCCTTGTCTTGTAGGTAGCAAATCTCAACAGACTTGAATATCTAGATTTTCAATACAGTTAATTAAAGCTTCTAGCATGAATTCTGAATCTACAAAGTACCATAGAAAGACCCAATTGAAAACTATTCCAACAAAGATTTACCCAAAATCATAAGCACAAACATTAATGTTACAAGTACATAATAGACAAACAGCACAAACTTTTAACCACAGAAATATATATTAACCACATCAGGAACTATATTTAAAACCCATAGCTAAGTATCTACCATGTAGGATAAACAGATTAAAATATCTTAACAGAGCAATAAAGAGATCAGAAGCAGAAGAGTACATATAGAAAGGAGATGAAATAAACGCTTCCCCACTCCCTTATCTCTTCCTTTTCGCTCTAACTTAAACTTCACCTATCTCTTTTGGTACCATACAATAATACAAGCTCCTACGACACCTAGAACAGATTTTGACATAACCATATCAATAAAAAATATCAAGAAAAAACCAACAAGAAAATAACTGATATGGTTTTAATCTAGAAGGCGGTACAAGAATATCTTGTTCTCAGACAAGAAAATATTAGATTTGACTTGATCTTATCAATGAAAGACACACATGAAATGAAAGAGATAATGCAGCATTGGCCTAATATATTTAATTAATTTATGTAAAGCTGTTAGCACTATATATCTCTAAGAATAACAGAAACAAGGGTTAAGCCTGTTGGCCCAAAGGCATGGACATTTAAAAAACAAGAAATGCAAGAAGAGGAGCTCAAACCAGAGAATGAGTATATATGAATCACAACTCAATTCCCAAATTGCAATAGACGCAAACACAAATGTAAGTGCTTTACCTGCTAATAAAAAGAAATTTTGATAACTTGAAGCACAGATAACTACAAAGCCTCACGGGCAATTATTAGTTGTTTATTTGGCATGCTGTTAAAAGCTTACTTGAATATTACTAACTTCTCAAAACTAAAAGATAACAATAATACATCCACCACAAGAGAATGAATGATGAATGTCTAACTTTTGAACTTTTGAATCAATGTAAAATCCTAAGTATTTTCTTATGGTAAGATGATCTCACGCAGTGTTCAACTTACCAAACAGTAGGCTTTACATGAAAGATGACAAAATAATATCTTATACCCAAATCCTTTGGTATCATATCCAGTCAAAGATACCTTTCATCATCTCTGGCTAACACTAATTACCTCCTCACAACAACATTGGCTCCACTAAAAAATCTGAGGATCTAGAACTACAATGTCCGCAAAAAATTTGAACGTTTCTTAACCTAACGCTGACTTGCTAAACCAACCTCAAAGTGCTAAAATTCTTTGAGTTGAATATATCATGGTCAAGATCTAAAGGTTGCAGGAGCACCAGTTGCTCTTGATAAAATCAATTAATGCGAGAAATGAATTCTATCATTAGAAGACCATAAATGCACTAAAATATTACCATGAAGGTGATCTTCCAAGGATCCCAAGGGCATGAATTCATAGACAAGAAGCCGTTGATCTCCATCAGCACAATAACCGATCAGGTTAACTAGATTAGGATGATGAAGAAGACTGAGCATGAGAACCTCAACCAGAAATTCCCTGTTACCCTGGAGACCATTTCTATCCAACTGTTTGACGGCAACAACCTGCAAAAAAATATATATTTACATATATCTAAGAAAAATGATGACATGGACTCCTCAAGCAACACAATATTTAGTTAGTTATCCCAACTACTGGAACGTTCAATTTGTGTAATTTCGGACCAAAACCCAGAGATCCTCTTTGAAATCTCTTTAAAAACATGTATGACAATTCTGTTACATGGGAATAAAATAATTTTGACAGACAAATGAAATTTGTTATCCAAATTACATTGTTAAATATACTCACTTTATTCTTTCTACTCTTATATTAAGTCTAAGAATGATGAGTGATGCTGCACACAGCGGTAGAATTTTCAAATTCATATGAGACCTCAGCTACAACATGACAACATCAAGGGAGGGTTTAGACAGAAAACCCACATTTTATCAGCAAGATAGACTACATGAGGATGAATGCTGCTTTCTTTTACCAGATGGTTAACTATGTCAAGTAGCAACAATCACACCCAAAAGGATAAATATATACTCAGATATTAATTAGATCATCTTCAATGGACAAAGGATTATCAATTGAGAGTTATCAAATTAAAGAGCTGCACCAAAGTTCAGTAATTTATCTTTTCAATAGATGTTCAATAAGACGCAACTGTGTATGGCCTCTTCAGTGGGAGCTAGATCACAATGCATAGCAAGTGCATCAGAGGATTTGAAAACCTAATGATAAGTGTAAACCAACAATACTAACCGGTTATTTTACGAAATACATTTTTAATGATGAACTTTCCAATTTTATTTATGCTTTTTTTACTATATTAATAAATGTTAGAATCATAGAAAAAACAGAGTAATTCCTTTCCAAACACTCTGTCTTCAACCACTAAATATCTATAGGGCTTATATTTAATGCATCTTCAGTGTACAGTATTTATACACAATCACTTAGTAATAGAGTGTCACCTCATAAACATGCAAAGGTAGAAGTTCAAAAGTTCTTCATAATCAATATTTTTCAGATTATGAGTGTTCATTTTTTAAGGTTCCCAACTTTTAGATTTATTTATTAACAAGGTGGCAACATTTGGTTCACTGATACCGTATAGAATCTATACCCTACCAGAGCATCAAAATAAGTAAATGCCTAGAATTGGTAAATCTTATTATGGATCAAAGCTCAATTATTGCAGCTACATCATATTCATATGCTTTCAATATTTGGTGAAAACACCGCAACAACAAAAAGATTTACCTGACCAGTACTCTCAAGCTGCCCTTTGTACACACGTCCAAATCCACCTTCACCTAAGAAAGACTCTGGCCTGAAATTCTTTGTTGCAGCTGCAAGCTCACGAAAAGTAAAAATTTGAGCAGCAATTTGGACACCAGGCCCATCCCTGGGACTTGGTAATTCCCTTTTGGACCCTCCATTACTTCTTGATCTGAGCCTGTCCCCTCCTGCCAACTCCATCAAAACAGATACTATTAACGATCTATTTACCATTTTAATGCAAAGAAAACAATCTAACACGGAAAAAGTATATGATCTCATTTCTAAAGCTCAGAGATGGAAGAGAAGGGGCAAATTTTATTTGTCAAGGCAGGACTAAGCTCCATCAAGCTATAATTCAAATGAAGAACTTCGCTTATCATACTTATTAAGCTACTTTTACTTTAAGATACTGAATTACTGATTAATTACAAGACATCTATCAATGGGTATTGAATTGATTACCAGCAAACAGATCAACCGAAGTGATCAAAATCATCATTAGATCCAAATCCCTTCACAAAACAGCATCAAAATCTGGTGGGGCTAGTGGAAACAACCCAAAATTTAAATCTCTAAAAATTTTATCAGGATAAATCAAACATGTAATAATCTGTGGAAAATGAGAAAAAGTATAAAACAGCAAAACATGCATCATCATAAATACTTAGCAAACAATAATGAATCAGAAAGACCCAGATCAGATCAAGTGTTAAAATAATTATTTTTTTTAGAAAAAAAGAATCCAACCTGAAGCTAATCTGGAAATGTTAGAGGAAACGGTTGGTTGGCCTTGCTTTCGATCATCGGTTTCTTTGACGGGATTTAACTTCTCCTCTTCCCTTGAATCGAAACAAGGAAAGCAACCCATCCCCTCAAAAATCAAACCAAACCCCCAAAAAAAAATTCCTTAAATTTCTGAAATATATCAGATTTTCAATAAGAAAAGCTCAATCAACTTGTCATATTCCAATCCTAATTTTTTACAAAAATTTTTAAAAAGAAAAAACTTTTTGGGCACCCTCCTCTCTATTCCTTTACCCGATCAAATCATCAAAAAAGAAAAGATGAAATGAATCGAACAACCAAAACAAGAAAGTAAAGCGCACAATAAAACAGAAACTTTAAGGTAAGCGAGAGAGAAGTTTGAAGCAAAACAGATGTTGAAGAAGAAGATGAAGAAGCCGGCTTTTGTCTTCGGCTTCGTGTACGCTTTACACAAAACTTATAGCTCCCACACACTCTCTTTTTGACCATATATTATAAATACAACTAAAACTTCCCCCTCTCCCCTTCCTCTCTCTCTCTCTCCAGAGATTTTCTCATGCTACTACTAAATTCCTTTTTTTTTAAAAAAAAAAAAAGAAAGCTTTTAACTCTGCAGTTATTTAGCACTCGAATAAACCTTGTTGTTGTTGTACACATATATAAAATTAAAATTCGAAAAAGGAAATGATATTTACGTGTCAATTGGCGGGACTGGCGGAACACACAAGGGAAAAGGGCAGGGGAGATGGAGTCAGGGAGAGTCAAGGTGAGAAAAACGTCCGCCTATAAAATACGAGTACTACTCTACCGTTGGTCAAATTCTGTCCCTTCATTGGCGCATCGTACGCGGCACGGTTGCGTGGCCTGTTTTATAATCCTTTTTGCAATCAAATTACCACAGCGATTCATTCCTTCTCATTATTCCGTGGGATTGGACTTTTGCATTCTCTATTCTATTTTACGAATCTTATTCTTTGCCATTTCTTTTACAACTTCAATTTAACCCAAAAGTAGTGTTGGCTAAGGTAGCCTCTTGATGCTTTCGGCTCTTAACCTTTTTGCATGTCAACTGTTGATTAATCCATCTTAATTTGATTCTCAGACTCGTATAAAACAATCTCATTTACATTAAAAAGGTCTTATAAATAGTCACTATCAATCAATGTATAAGAAAAAACAGGTGAAACCTATATATATATACACACACAATTGAATGTGAGGTATATGGTGGCTACTTGGACTATTCTAAATATTTTTTTAAAGTCTTTTTTTGCACACATCTTTTTCTCTGGTAGTCCCTATGGACTTCTTACACTGTACTTTGTTTTTCTTGTCAACTCGGTGTTTTCAGCCAATTTTTGAAATTAGGTTTGAAATGGCTGATTCGGTGGTGGTGGTGAGAACCACATCTTAAACTCCACTTTTTCTTTTACAAATGTTTTGGTCTCTGACTGTGTACCTAAAACATGGTAACAGTGCAGCTTTCGGATTCCATGGTTAGGTGTGACTTTAATTTTACAACTTAGCAAGGAAGTTAATATATAATTGGAACTTGGAAGAGCCTTCAAGACAAGACATTGTCATTTTGGAGTCGATAGTATATATATTTAAAATCATGCAAGAGTCAATGTATCTGTGAATGGAAGCTTGGTCACCCAACATGTGCCAATCAGATTCTCCAGGGATTTTAACTGTACCAAAACAAGATAAGGAACTCGATGGAATTAGCATTAAAGAAAGACAAGGGTTCCATTGCTTAACCAATGGGATTACATTCACAATCCCCATTTTACTTACTTTATAAACCTCATGTGTAGTTGTCTTCCTGAATCGTCAAACGGAGCTATCCAAGACGCTGTATCCAGCAGGTTAATTTTTGTTTTAAAATCCCGCCAGCGTGGGCCTACTCCCTATCGACTCATGCATGACACATGGAATGCACTGCACAACTTGGATGATGTATCAAGGCTTTCTAACCCAGTTGCTTGTAAATTTGCACTAATTATTTGTTAAACGCACATATGATTTGTACTTGAAACTCTTCTTACAATCAATGTTCAGTTTATTGTTGGGCATTGTTCTTCTTCTTGTTTTGATTCTCACGTCCCTGCATGCCCATCAATCGTCTAGATGTTAGATTTTTTTTCAGATAGTTTCAAATTAGGCGTCCACAAAGGAACAGTTGCCAGATCCAGTTTGGGTCTCGTAATAATAATATTAACAATAAAACAAGACATAAGTTGAAATCATAATTAGTGGTGCATGTGTACGCGGTTGATGTCGTTAGATTGGTCATCCGGGAGATGTCCCATGGACCATGGTCATCTGTCACCAAATCGTCGCCCTTTATAATCTTCAGTGTTTTTCTTGTTATTTTTATTGGAATCTGTGAAACCACATTTGCCCCAGTGAGACAATTTTGGACCCGCAAGCCGAAATACGGCGTGGTCTGCCACCGACAATATTCCAAAACCAAACACACCCTCTGCTCTTTATTCTTTTTTTTTTTACTCACCAGAAGCCAGGAAACTGAGATTCCGAAGTCCCCCTATTTGAGGGGCGGAACTCTGAAGGATGGCTTTCGAGTTTAGACTAGAATTGATTCTGGCTTTGAGGTGGGGTTGGGTCCAACTTTTCTAGGACGAGGGCCACTGACCCCAGGCCTAAACAATTTCCCATGTAAGCAAACAATCTCTAGTTTTTCACCGGCCTTCTCCATTCAATATGACATTCACTGTCCCATTATAAAAGAGTAGGGGGAAGTTGGAAATTTTGATGAATTAGTTGGTTGAACACATTCTTAAATCCCGTAACTAAGTCCTTCTGGCAAATATTAATACCAGAATTGCATAATATTAAAATAAAATCTAGAGAATTTGATGAAGTCACCATGGCATGGCCGGTAAGCTGGGCAGACACGGTCAAGTGAAAAACACGTCGCTCTGACCACGAAAGCACCCAATGGGCCTTTAGATCTCGACCACTT